TTAATTCTTCTTTCATAGTTGTGGATGCTTGCGGGAGGGGTTAATCATAAGTGGGAGGCTTGTCCAAGGAAGGACAGCACCCAAGCACCGGTCCACCCACATATCAAATTATCAAAGTAACGAACGTGAATCATATGAGCATGATGAAAACTAGCTTGACAATAATTTCCATGTGTCCTCGGGAGCGCTTTGCTTTATATAAGAGTTTGTCCAGGCTTTTTATTTTCTACAAAAAGGATTGGGCCACCTTGCTGCACCTTGTTTACTTTTGTTACTTGTTACCCGTTACGAATTATCTTATCATAAAACTATATGTTAACAATAATTCCAGTGCTTGCAGAGAATACCTTGCTGAAAACCACTTGTCATTTCCTTCTGCTCCTCGTTGGGTTCGACACTCTTACTTATCAGAAGGACTATGATAGATCCACTATACTTGTGGGTCATTATCTCACACATGACATCCATCGTAAGACATGTTACCAATAAATCAATCTTCATGATGTGTTCTTTGTGTGATCTGATGTATCTGTTGAGGCAAAAGCATCGCAACCTGATGTATCTGTTGGAGGGATCAATGGAAGTGTTTTGCATTAACATCCCGTATGTGTGAAATATAATCTTTTCATAGTTGTCTCTTGTCTTGTTCATGTTCTTCACCCCTATAGGTACATAGGATCATGGAGAACGATCCATAGAGAGGCTAAGCAAAGGGAGACCATGAAGTGTTATTCTAAACACCAGTGACAGAAAGGTTTAGTAGGGTAACACCGATCCTATTCCTAAGGATTCAAGAGGTGTAATCATTAAACGTCAATGCTTTTGTTTGACTATTGTAATCTTATTTATCAAGGCAACCTCGCGCGACAGATAGGACCTTCAGTTGGACAACTGGTTCTTGATGCAAGACGCGTGTTGCTCAAGATGTAATTTGGACACATCCCCCACTCTGATTTGTAACAAGCAGATCTCGATGGGTGACTTCTAGCACACAAATTAAGAACATATTTGGTCCCATCATGAATATATGGTAAGGATTACGACCTCATACCCATGCCTGTTTTTACTATAAGTGTTTTCAGTGTCAAGTTTGATTTACGATCTGGTCAAAAGTTGGAATTAATTCTTTAGCAAAAGTTGGGTTGCGACCGTAGCTTAAAGGGCACCGTCCTCTCGTGGGTTTGATAACTCAGGTTCACCTCTGGGGATAAAAGGAGAGAATCCTTTCTGCTACATTCCAAGTCACCAAAGGAAGTAATCAAACCTTTTTCTAGCGTCGTTGCTGAGGAGACATTGTGTGCCTAATCTTTATGTTTAAGGTTTTTGTTAAAATTTTGTTTCAATTTTTAGCTTACTTTTTGTTGCAAGTCTTGTGAGTAGAAAACCACAAAAATTATCATGGCTCGTAATCTTTGGAGCTTTGCTAATCCTAGCAATAGTTTCATGCGTGAACTTATAGTCTTTATGGTTCAACAAGACCAATTTGAAGACTCTGTTTCTGAGGATCCCGGTATGCACTTGCATTTTTTTTGAATTGTGCAAGATGACACACATTAGAGATTATGATCCTGACGCTTTGAAATTGTGTCTATTTCTTTTCTCTTTGAGAGGAAAAGCAAAAGAATGGCTTCTAGCTTTGCCTAGAGGTAGTTGATGAGTGTTAATTTTACACTCTTGTAACCAAAGTTTAAACTGATATATTTCTTTAAAACCAATATATTTTCTCCAATATTGCTACTAATAACTAATGAATGCATAGGATTCCAGTTATCCTATCTTTATTTTGTTCCCACATGAAATGGGATGTTTTTTTTGAAATGGTCACTGAGGGGAAAGGCTCCCCACCTGAATATATTTCAAAGTGGCCTTAATGCCATGAGATTGATCCGGTTTATAAGGAAAATCGGATCGAAAACCTAGACAATTAGACCCTGTTTATGAGGGAAACCGTGCTGAAAACCGTACAAGAGAGGGTAAAAGAAGAGAAACCAAAACAAAAGACGCCCAAGACAAGGCATGCCTAGCTAGCAAACCGAAGGACATCATCACGAGAGGCACAAGTAGATGAGGGGAGTCATCGAGGGGTCACAATACCAAGACTTGACAAGCGGCCTAACGCACCAAACCGGCGTGCATACCGAGCACCACGGTGCAACAGAGGAGCATCCACATCAACGAGTGACTAGCACGAACGTTGACTAGGAACTCCTCCATGGAGAATCAAAAACGATTAGCAAGTTGGGGAGGAAACTTGCGGCATCATTGAGCAAAGATGAACCGAGACAACGCCAAGAGCATGAAGCTCGCCGCACCACAACGACAGCCATGGAGGTCTTGAGCATGCACAGCAACAGGGGCGACACCGACGAACACCACCACAGACGAACACATACCACCGTCGACCCATCCAGCTACACCACCACCACCAACATCCCTGCAGCAACACCCACACGTCAATCAAGCAGACCCCAAGATGATGCCTTCAACAAGGGTCGTGACATCGGTTGCGCCGCCATCATCCGCACCAGGAGGACCTGGGCTAGGGGTTTCCCCCGGGGTCTCAACTTCCTCTTCATCTGACCAAGCAAGGTGAGCCTTGAACGTTGGCCGTCTGGTCGCCACCCAACAACACCCCGTAGAGGGGAGAGGTGTCGTACAAGAACGAGGTGGTCCAGAGAGGATCCCACCCCGCTAACCCGGCTTCTGATGGAAATGGGATATTTACGGACGAAATCAAGCCAACACATGAAAAAGGAATAAAGTGGAGATAGTGAAGTTCAAGTGGGAGGCGCACTAGAGGAAACAAAGCAAAATACAACGTTCCATGTGACCACGCCCGCTCATATGAACCTTTATAAAGGGTCCAACGCCAAATGGATAACAGATAATCGAGAACATTGAGAACATCGTGAGCAGAGCGCAGAACGACAAGTCATCATCATTCCCATCTCCATCAACACTAGCCGATGCCATTTCCATCTCCATAGCCACCACCTTCACTAGCACCATGGTTCTCAACAATCTAGTCATACTTGTAATCGTGTATCACACACTGCATCTATTGTAAGACATATTATTAATCAATCAATCTTCATGATGTGTTCTTCATGTGATCTGATCTTTATGTGTGAGTAGTCTAGTAAGGTATGGATTGAGGAAAGAGCCTTACAACCCGATGTATTTGTTGGAGGGATCAATGGAAGTGCTTTGAATTAACGCCCCGTATGCGTGAAATTAAATTGTTTCGTACCTGTCTCTTGTCTTGTTCGTATTCTTCATCCCTACGGGTGCCCAGGATCATGGAGAACGATCCACGGAGTGGCAAAGGGTAGGGAAACCGTGAAGTGTTATGCTGAACACCAGTGATAAAAAGGTTTAGTACGGTAACACGGATCCTATCCATGGGGATTTAAGAGGTGTAGACAAGAAATACTCAATGCTTTTGTTTGATTATTGCAATCATAATTAGCGAGACAACCCCGCGTGTCGGATAGGGCCTTTGGTTGGACAAACCGACTCTTGATGCAGGATGCGTGCTGGTCAAGATGTAATTTGGACACATCCCCCACTTCGATTCATAACAAGCACATCTTAATAGGTGACTTCCAACTTTTTACGCACAAATTAAGGTCATGTTTGATCCAGTTATAAATATACGGTTGTAAAAATTAAGACCACATACCATGCATGTGTTTTATTATAAGTGTTTTTAGTGTCAAGTTCGATTTAAGATCCGGTCAAAAGTTGAAATTAATTCTTTAGCAAAAACTTTTTTGAGACCCTAGCTTAAAGGGCACAGTCCTTCATGGGTTCAATAACTCAGGGTTACCTCGCGGGGAAAGGCGATAATCCTTTTTTTTAATTTCCGGATCACCAAAGGAAGTAATCAAGTAGACCTCGCTGCAGCCGCAACACGTTGAGGGGGAAGCGACCCGTTCGCCACAATAATCTTCTTTTTCTTCCCTAGCGCTGCCATGTTGGCCGCTGCCTTGGCCTTCACCGAAAGACCCCTTTTGCCGGTATGCTCGACAAAGGTAGTTATTGTGGTCACTCTGAAGGAACTACCGACGAAAGACGTCGACACTCTGCTGCCGATGAGGTTCCTTCCTTGCCGTCGTCTTTCTAGTGGTTGCGCCATAAAATTCATGGCCGATGGTGGGTCTCCAGTATTGGCGCTAGGGGTGCAGTGGGGGGAGGGCCTACCCATTCCGCCCATCAACAGGGAAGGGTTGGCCGGAAGAGGCTATTGTAGCGGCGGTGGTAGGTGGTGGGGTGGGCGGGAGTTTTACTCACTCGCATGGCCGCGAACCAAATACAAGAGAGATAAAAGTTCTTCTCTTCTGTAGGCTATCTATAGATGTACCGGTATACTCCGTTTATGGTCGGCTCTACAACATGTGGAGAATCGAGACATGTTTACAGAGATGTGTACACGCTTGGAGGCCATGGCGAGGGATACCTTAACCTGAAATGGATGGCAGCATGATCTTCGGAATGGCCCTCTTACATCTTAGGCGTTATATAGTCATGGTATTCCACCTTTTATTTTATTTGAAACTTGGACTTGGTTTGGCTGTGTGCATCTCAGTTGTGCAGAGGCCGGGTGTAATACTTCACCTTTTAAGTAATAAAGCGTCCTTTTATCGAAAAAACCTATGAGAGAGAGAGAGAGAGAGAGAGAGAGAGAGAGAGAGAGAGAGAGAGAGAGAGGAAGTTTTTGGGGTAAAAAACTCAAATTTAGTTAAGTTTTGGCCTTTTGGGTATAGGGTATCTTCAAGTTGGCTCAACATCATTTTTTGCTCCTTAAATACGAATTCTAAGGGATCTGCAGATGCCTTGCCATAATACAATCTGGAGCTAACACCACATAAAAACATTCCCCCAGCCTGATTTTGTGTGCTATGCAAGGTCGAGCGTGAGCCTTGGAGTTACTTCTTAATCAACGATGATGGTAGAAGCTCCCAAGTCCCAAGCACGACGACCGTGAACCAACCAGTTAGCTAATCCTCCTGATCAAGAAAAGGGTAATCGGTGTAGCCAACAACAGGGTCGGATGTGTAGAACGTGCTCCTGTCATACTTATTCAGAGCGGCGTTCCTTTTGAACCTCTCCGGCAAGTCGGGGTTGGCCAGGAAGAGCCGCCCGTACGCCACAAGATCGGCGTAGCCATCGGCGACGGCCTTGTCCCCTTCCTCCCGGTCGTACGCCCCGTTCACCATGAAGGTGCCGCTGAACGCCCTCCTGAACGGCAGCAGGCGGCGCGGGATCATCCGCTCGTTGACGCACATCCGCGGCTCGATCATGTGGCAGTAGAGGACGCCGAGCCCGTTCATGACGCCGATCACGTGCAGCGCGAGCGCCTCCGGGTCGGAGTCCACGCAGTCGACGTAGTCGGCGAACGGGGAGAGGCGCACGCCAACGCGGCCCGCGCCGGCCTCGTGGCACACGGCCGCGATGACCTCCGCGGCGAAGCGGCAGCGGTTCTCTAGGCCGCCGCCGTACTCGTCGGTCCGGTCGTTGACGCCGTCCTTCATGAACTGGTCGATCAGGTACCCGTTGCCGGCGTGGATCTCCACGCCGTCGAACCCTTCGATCACCGACGATGATCAGCGTTGCAAACTACGTACGTACGTAGAAAAGATGAGGACTGTTGGGGACATGGATGGTTGATCATTAATTACCGGCTCGCATGGCGTTCCTAGCGGCGACCCGGAAGTCGTTGACGATGTGGGGTATCTCCTCCGTCGCCAACCTTCGAGGGGGCGCGAACTCCAGGACACTGCCGTCATGGGCGACCTGAGGCGGCACCTGCTTATCCGTGCTCGACACCGGAGCTTGCCCATTAGGCTGGAACTCTGTGTGCAATATGATTGAGACTTGACACTTTGATTCGTCCATTCGAAAACGAACACGATAGGTACGAGGATAATCATTTGAAAAGAAAAAGGTACGAGGATAATGTTCTACCGGTGGGCGAAACGCGGCCCGTGTGCCATAGCTGGCAGAAGAAGACGGCGCCCTTGCCGTGCACGGCGTCGACCACCGGCTTCCACGCCTCCACCTGCTCCTGGCTCCACAGGCCGGGGACGTGCGGGTAGCCCCGCGCGGCCTCGGAGACGGCGCAGGCCTCGGCGACGAGGAGCACGCCCGGCGCCGCCCTCTGCGCGTAGTACAGCGCGTTGTGCGGCTGGGCGAGGTTCCCGTACGACCTGCACCGCGTCAGCGGCGCGAGAACAACCCTGCGTTGCGTTGCCGACCATGGCCGCGTCACTTCAGCGACCCAAGATTCTAAGGAAACGATCGAGTAATTAACTGACCTGTGCGCCAGGTTGAAGTCGCCCATCTTGTATGGAGTCAGGAGCGGAGTCGTCTTCGTCTCCATGCTTCCTTCAATGGAAGTGGATTTTTCAGCACCACGGCCTTCTTCTATCTATGTCAGTAAGAGTAGTGGCGATCGAGCTCGCGGTTGCTCGATGGACTATATAGCCGATGAGAGGAGACGGAGTAGTCCCGAAATTCCACGTCCAGTCCCGGAGTAGTCCACCTTCAGCCCCGTGTTGTCGAGCTTCTATTGCGTCAAATTAAGTTAATTAAGTGGACTAGTGATAATGCACGTGATTGACCTTTCTGGCTGTGTAATTGTGTAGGTTTGTTTTAACTTTGTTGTTTTATTATGGTTGCTTTCGTGCGTGCCTGTGCCTGTACGACTGCGTAAATTTCGACCAATCAAAGCAAGGCAACGGAACTCATATGTACAGCGATTGCACCAAAAGAAAAGCATCTATCAACAGCTGGCGTGATGCCAACGGCCCACCCCCGAGGTAAGGATCAGCTACTTGCCAATGATATCTGCAACTCATGTCACTTTGTGATCACAAAGTGACATCGCCATGCGAGTAGTGAGGAAATCCTTAAGACACTTGAGGTCAAAGAAAAACAGCATCCAAGCGAGTAGCATAAAAGCTAGTATCAACTTAATGCCGAGCACAAGTACAGGAGACGCCACACCTAACAGAACCAACCCAGACTACTAGGACGGAACCATGCCCCCCTTGAGAGGCCACCGGACACCGTTGTATCGAACACACCAAGCCATCTCTTGAGAGGGCCGCCTCCCTCTCGCTCCGGGCCATGGAGCGCTGCTAGGACCACGGTGAAAACGGAGGAACATGTATAGGATAGGAGACCATCGAGGCCACCCCATGCCAGTCACGGATGCCTCATGTAAGGATCAAGGCATGCCTGAAGCCGCTGGCCTAGTGCAACCAAAAGGGACCGGAGCTCCATGATGACGTCTCCAAGAGGGTCATGACGCCACGCGCCACCGTCGAGTCTGAAAAGAAGGACTAGGGTTTTCACTCGGACATGGCACCTTTAGGGGACCCACAACGACGCCTTCAAGAGGGAAGCGACACCCACAAGCATGTCGCTGCCAGCGGTGGAGTGTAGAGCTTTCGCTCGGAACCTTACATGTGCCACTCATGGCACCTAGGTGCCAACCCAACTGGAGGGCGGGTCGTCGCCACCAGCTCGAAGACACCATATCCAGACAAGAGAGCAGCCACCGCCGAAGGTACGGTGACACCAGGATCACGCCCACCAATTCCATTGCTACTATCCACATAGCCAAGATGAGGTGACACTACAATTGCAGTGATGCTTGCCGCAGAGCCAACCACGCAAGCTCACCTTCCAGGGTCGCCATGGCGTCCAAGAAGAACTCTTGGCCGCCGCAAGATATGAACCGGACGGAAAAGCAAGAACCTTGGAATGTACCGAACAACCAAAGTGCAAAGGAGCCCTGACCCCGGAGTCCAGATCCTGCCTGGATCCAGCCCCACAACAATTGATCCGTTCGGGGACATGGATGATTGGCTCCTACCCACACCACAGCCAAAGTAACATCAAAATACGTCGAGTTGTCGTGGCAGGGGGGCCTCCATGGGCCAGATCTGCCCTCCCCAGATCTGGCCAAGGATGCATCCGATGGACCGCCATCCTCACCCGAAGATCCACCAAACGCCACACCATCGGTTACCGGGGGTTCGCAAACAACCGCACACTAAGCTTATAGGCAGACGCTTACGCGCGGGTTTATACTCCTCGCTACTGCTACTTACTAGTAGCGCGGGTTTTTATCCCTCGCTACTACTAAGTTGATAGTAGTAGCG